CTTCCCTTTAAACTTGCTTTAATTCGAGAAATTTTAGAAAATGTAAAACACTAAAATTGCTACTCAATTATTTTATGTCATTTTATGTCGAGAAAAACCAACCTCGGTTGATTTCAAAAATTTAATTTACTAAATTTAATTTGTATATTTTTAATAAATAACGAAAGAAATAATTTTGTAGGTGCAATTTAAAAAAAATATTAAATTTTAACTTTAATTAAAAAAGCTTTCAATATTAAGTAAACATATATATATTATATTCTCATATAGGTATAACTTAATCCTTGTAACTTAACTTAATTCTCATATGGGTATAGGAATTAATTCCGTCTAGAAAGATACAAATAATAATAAGAATAATAAGAAGGATAAATAATGAAAAAAAATCTGAAAGTTTTAAGATTTTATATTACGCCCAAAGAGGCTTTTTTTTTGCAGTTTTTGTTTTAACGTTTTAACCTATATTTGTTAAATATCATGTTCTTCGCATTTAAACCATAAAATTAAATTCAGCAGTTCAATTCGAAAGATTTTAAAAAAAAAGCATATCTTTAGAATTTTCGATACACAGTCTCGTGTGCTGGAGATAAAAATGTTTTTTTTTTTTTTTTTTGCGTACAGTGTTACCATTGATCGCTTTGAAATAGTTGAGTTGTTAATCAAAAATTAAAGGTTTACAAAATATGAAATAGATAATAAAAAAATTCCAAATTCCAAATTTAGTTTTCCAGATGCCTATATTCGTGTGGAAGATTACGTTATTCAAAATTTTATGACTCTAGGTACCGTTGTTTCATCACAATGCGAGAAACATACGTACATTTTCGCAGATTCTTCATTATTTAGTTTCTTTAAATATAATACAGGGCGATAAAATTTAGTGGCAACAATTTGAAAAGTTATATGCCTTCTATAGTGATTCGACGCAAAACGCCAAAATGAAATTAATAGCCCTCCTGAGCTAACGCCCTGTTGCGCCACTTATGATAAGTAAATTGCCTCAGTTGATACTTTGTTTGAAAAAGAGTGGCAACGCCTCAGTTTATCGCGAGACTGTGATTGAAACAGTAGTTTAAAAGATTTTTAAAATAGAAATGAGTATGTAATGAAGCGGTTTGTTGAAAATAATTGAAATAAAATGTTTATGCCTTTAAAGAAACTTCTTGCCTGTCGATTCAAGGGAGCAGTCTCATTTATATGATTTAATGAGTATCTTTAGTCTAAAAGTAACCGACACACACCCTTTGGGAAAAAATATATCTATTATATGAGGTATTCGAAATTCGAAAGTTAGGAATAAGAATAGACTATTTTAGGATTAGGATATGAGAAAATCTAGAATTCGTACTATTTGTAGTTAAAAACTAATAATTGCTATTCAACCCAACGGATAACCAATTTTTGACTGATAATGTTTATGCTTTTAAATGCCTAATTGATACCATCAAGAAACACCAGGAAAACGGAGGTAAATGGACTGAATTTAGGCTATTCATGGATAGAGCATAATGATCAGAACAAACAGACTTCACTTCATAAACACTTATTCGTGGTCCACCATAATGGACAAGTAATGCGAATATCTTGCCTGCTAATTGCCTACGTTGCGAATATCTTACCTGCTAAATGCGAATATCTTACCTACGTTGATAGTCGCATTACGGGTTTGATTTTTTTATAGTTACCAAGTATTGAACGTTTGCTGCATTCACTAATCTCGCTACAGAGAAATTAAAATAGATAAAGTATTTGGAAATAGGTGAATTGAAAAAAAATTTGAAAGAATAAAATTTTATAATTTTGGCTAATACACTCGAGCTTAAAAATAAGCAACAAACGCTAAAAGAAAAGGTACGAGGGCAAAAAAGAAGAATTAAAACACATAATTTGCATATGAGGTAGATTGTCGCGGGATTGTCGAATGCACATAGGCAACCAAAATTAGCATAAAACAAAATTCCGCAATCACACCCCAAGGCCTTAAAAAGGGTCATGCTGTACCTATGCGCCAGGTTCTCAAGCAGCGATAGTTCCGTGTAATCTGAGATAGCCGAAGCGGAAAGCATGAGCCGAAAACATTATTTCCACGATGACTATCGAAGACAATCCACTTTTACGAAAGAGCTGAATGTGCATCGTAGAGTCATCAATGGACTGTGGAATAGTTACCAAAGGGATCAAACAACCCTGCAGAAAATGTGAGTCTGGACCCGGAGGGTTACTACATTGGCTAACGATCGCTTCCTAGTAATATGTGCATCAGGCCGTAGACCATAACAGCACGACAGCTGGCTTCGCATATCTCTACTGTTGCAGGTAAGCCCATATTTCGCCAAACTGTGCCACGTCGACTGCATGAGGGTGGCCGTACGCCATGTGGTTTGTTTTCGTTTGTTCCCATCGCATGCCAGAGCGCAATTGAATTCGGCCCGTGCAGTTGGACATCGGAGCAGTGTACTCTGCGGATGCGTCTCGATTTAACATCCAGAACAATTCCCTTAAGGTAATGATATGGCGAGAGGTAGAGATAGGCTATCGAGCGCTATACATCATCGATTGAAACGATTACAGAGGAAGAGGCTTACTTGTATGGGCTGAGATAGCAACGAAGTAGGCATTGACCTCTACTTGATTCCTGGTGGTTCCGACACAGCCATCCGATATTGCGTTCTACACTCTCTTGTGCATCCTTTTATCGCCGAGGCGATATTTATGGACGATAATGCCGCCTGCATAGAGCTCAAGTGGTGCGGAGTTACCTAGAGAGTGAATCCATTAGACATCTTCCGCGGCCTGATAGATCACCGGACCTGAATCTCATACATATTGGGATGACGATATGGGCGCCAGGCACCCTTCAAGAGCTCCGACATGCATTACTACAGAAATGGGCGCTACTGCCACAACAAGCGATCAACGACATAATTGTCAGCTTGCCTCGCCGTTGTCAAGCATGCATTTCAGCTAGAAGTTATCATACCCAATATTAGCGTGCTGCTTCCATTGCCCTTTCTCCCGACCCATTTGTTCTTTCCTGATGTGATGGTCGTAATACATGTGTTTTTGCTTTATTGTTTTTTATAAAGTTATATTGTTATTGTTTGCTGTGTGATCTAGTAATGCCACACCAACCTCCTGGATCAATTTCACGCATATCCATTAAATAGTTTTTGTTTCATTGTGTGTTTTGCCTTTGTTGCTTATTTGGCGAGCAGAAGTGTATATAGTAAAACATAATGTGAGGGCTAATAATAACAGCTAATGTATAAAACATAATGTGGAAAAAGTTTGCAATGTATGTTTTTATGAAAGTAAAATTTATATTATCGGCAACAGAGAATGAAAAATAAACATAACTGTCAAAAATTGCTTTCTAGGCATTTAAGATTTGGTTTATTTAATTATGGCAAAGCACACTAGGGCTATCTGCTTAAGGGATGGGATGCTTTCGTGGATGACTTTCTAAGGGAACTGGCTCGTATACACGTTACACATGGGAAAAAGCCACAAGAACGCCCATGAAGCCAGCCCGTTCGCGGGATTCGAACCTCGGACCGAACTACCAGTGTTCTGCGACTTTACCGCTCGGCCACTGGTGGGCCTCTAGGCATTTAAGAAAAGAAGTTTAGTGTATTATTATTTAAAGTCAGCCCAAAATTTACTAAACTTTATTTTAAATACTTTTTGTTTAGCTATGATATAAGTGCTCGTAATTGTATACACGCTTTCATAATTTCCTTCGTTTTTCTGTAAGAATGTTTTTTAGTAATTTGTTTTACCCTTACAGTCTATATCTGTGATTCATTTCTGAATAGACAAACGAATCAACTAAATTTGATTTCCTTTCATATACATCGCAAAATCAGAAAAATAAGTTATATTTCGTATTTTAAAGTAATATTGCAGGTATTTTTATAAATTTTCTATCGGGGAAATTTAAAGTTTGAATGAAAGATTCCTTAGGAAGAAAAAATATAAAATCGCTCCCTTTTTAGAAATATAAAAATATTCCTTTTTGTTTTCGCAATGCATATACAAAGGTTTAGGATTAAATATGTTGAATTAACTTTATCGGAGCTGTAAAACAATAGATAATGGTTAATAGCATATTTCAAATCAATTTTTACAAACGTTAGCTGCTTATGGAAAAAACTTATGAAAAAGCAGACATTTTTGTTTGATTCACTGTTATTATAGGCTTGACCGTTGAAAAGAAACAATACATTTTTTCTTTTTAATAACGATCATATTCATGACTTTTATTGTAAAAAAAACACAGTTTTCTCCAAAATCATCTCTTTTTAGTGGATTAATTTCTATTTTGTAAGATTTTAAGGGCTCAGTTTAGAAGAGAGAGAGTTGAAAAGTTTTTAGAAATTCAAGGAAACGTAATGATGAAATTAAGAACATTCCAACAATTGACTTCTACGAAAGCATCCAACAACTCTATATAATATTATAAGGGACGCGTGTAGAAGATTAACAAAAATAAAATTATTACCCTCAAATAGCAATTTTCATGGATTTGTCACTAAAATGTTGCAGTGGCACTGACTAAAGAAAAAAAGTTGTCATTCGAATTTAGTATTTCGTTATACAGTCTAATGCCAAACATGAAAATTATTTAAATTAGAATAGTTCAAAGCATTTCCATGATGTAGACACAAATACGTTCTTTAGTTTCTGTTCTTAACTTTGATCCACCCCTTTATGAACTTTAGTATTCTTCATAAGACAAAGTGTGGTATGTATCTCCCACGCCAAAAGAACTTGCCGAATGTGACAAGTTTGTAACTGGACATTTCCAGATGCGTCTTGTACTCCGTCAAACCAATTTTCCGTGGGTGGTAAAATAGATACTGAGAGTGAGGACCCGCCTGTTAATGACGTCGACGCATGTGTGCTAAAATCATGCGCAGGAGTGCAACTCGGAGAGCCAGCGCAAAGTTTAGACCATTTTCCCCCCCCTGCTCTCGATTTGTATTCGTTTTTTCCGGTGGCAAGGAATTAGAGCCAACTTTTCTCTTGATATAAAAGGGGTTGTCAGACTAGGTGCATTCGCATTCATTGAAATACATTTGGTAGTTCCGTACGTGCAAAGTAGAGAAGACTTGCACTAAAATTTGTTTTCCGTTCTATTTTCAGTTTAGCAAATCAGCTTCTAAAGCAACAGGTAATATTTATTTTGCAATAATTTTTGACAATTATTTAACTGTTTAAGAAACAATTTCAACATATATTTTCTTTTATCAACAAAATTATTAATTTTTTCCTTGCCGTATGTTATTAACTTACAGTTGTATTTTATAAAATTATGAATTTTTGTTCTAATAGTTATTAAACAATTTTTACAATTTTAGGTTCTGTAACACATTCTTTTTCTGAATTATATTCTTGTTTTCCCCAGTTTTTTTTTTAAAAAAAAAGACTATTATAACAATGAAAAGAACACTGAACATGCTTTTTTTTACTGTCTTATATGCGATTAAAATTAACTCTGTTAAAAATGATGTTGATTATAAAAGCTTTTAAGATCTTTTATCAAAATTTTAATCCAACTGCTAGAAGAGAATTAATCGCTGTTCCTCAAAAATATTTTGAGATCAAACAATACAATTGACTCCATATTTTATTTATTACTTATTATTATTATTTTATAGTATTTTGCAAAGGCAACACAAAAAACCGGAAAATTCTGTAAATTTGTTTACATATATGAAATCTAGGACTTTATATAATAAAACCTAATGAACATTTTCAAAAAATACAAACATCTAATTCAAAATTACACAGCTCTCAACTTGGAAGAATACAGTTAGAAATAACATACAGCACTTTATAAATAATAAAGAGAAAATCTGAAAACTCTATTAATATATTTTATTAAAAACATAGAATGTATAAATAGATCAGATGCAGGCAAAGTATGAGAAGGTGTGTAAAGTGAGTGTATCGATAAAAAATTTTCAAACAAACAAAACAAAAAACAAGAATAAATCAATTTTTCAAATGAATTTAAATTTGTATATGCAACTTCAACAATTCATAGATGAAACTTTGAAAAACATTTGATTTAAAAATAATAATAGCTTTGAGAATCACTTTTTAATCATGAATAATATCTACCTTCAAATCTTTCAAAATATTTAATTTTGCTTAAATTATAGAAAAAGCTGTTCATTTTGATTTTACGTACTTAGTTCTTTTTTATTTTGAATTTATTAAAGGTAAAAATGTCCTTTTTTTAATTAGAAAACGTATAGTATCTATATATTCAACTTGAGTTAATTATAATAGAAATATTTTGAGTGAAAGCAGAAAAATGTTTCCGATAACCGATTAAATCTCGTCCTGTTATATTTATTTTAGTTTGTACAAATTACACCTGCTGCAATTGGAATGATTATCTAGCTAATGATTAGTGATGGTAAAAGAAAAGACACGTAAAAAATATTGGAAAAAAATTATTTTTAAAAAACTGAAATTACATGACGAATAGTTTCAAAATTTTGTGAAAAACTTCAGAAAGCTTTTATGTTAATAGAGGGAACAAGAATTTTATTTTCTCAAACATCAAAATATTTGGTTAGGGTTACTTTTGTAATAGCTTATCTTGTATAACATTTTGTTGTTATTCAGTCATAAAAAAGCTTAATAAATAATGAAAAAAATTGAAAATGAGAAATATTTTGTAAAGTATATTTATGTAGTTTTTTTAATATTTGTTAAAAGCATAAATTCTCTACATTACTGCAGAATTTTCAAAGGTGAAAATTAAGTTTTTGTTCTGTATTTGTTCCTTTAAGTATTTGGGTAAAATAGGGATTTTTCATAAAAATATCTATGGTTGTTTTTACTGTATATATAAATCTATTAAGATCCACCAAACGGCAGAAGATAAGAAAATAACTTATTACTTATAATCGGTCTCAGACATACTGAGGCGGCTGAATACATTGCTTTTCATGATTTTTTTCATGTGCATCATATGAATGAGTTTCTAATAGGAGAGCTTCCTTTCCTAAGTCAAATAACCCTTGAATGTCTTTCTCAATAAATAACCTAAAATAAGCATAATATTTCTTTGCTCAGTTCATCTTATTATTTAGCTAAAATATGCAAAAGCGTAATTAGATAAAAAAATGTGTAAAAACAGCAGTCTATTATGCATTAATATAAGTAGCAAATTTATTAGTATACCCCTTTTGTTAAGACTATAAAGAAATTAAGAAAGAGAGCAGTTGACAAGGAAAAGCATTTATTTATTTTTTTGAAGTCTAGAAATTCAGAGTTCGTACACTGGTTAGAAGGTAATCGAATTTTTAATTACATTCAAAATATTATTAGACACCAATTTCAGTTGAAAATCGTTCTGATGTTAATCTTCGCTCTTTAATTATGTCTATTGTACTTTTTTTAATACACCTCAGTAATTTTGTTTGCAACTGATGACTAAAAACTGAACTGGTATAGTATGCTTTTGAATCCTAACAAAAGTTAAACTAAATAACCTCAAAACTTTCATTAATATTTACCTAACAATCATCATTGTAACTGTATCTGAATCTAATAAATGTTAAATGAATGACAAGCAAATAGTTAAAAATGAGTTATAAAATGATAAGTTATTGTGAAATGTACCGACATAGGGATTTTATGCAGCATGCGTTTTTCTATTTTTTTCATACTTCCCATCACCTCATATCAGTGTTCAGTTTTCTTAGTAAGATGGCTTGTAAAGCCTTTTTGTCTTTTTATTATTAACGTCTCATCTGTTAACTTTATTTACTAAATCTCACGTTCTTTGCGCCACATAAAATTCAGTTCAACAGAAAAATTACAAAATATTTAAAAATAGCATATCTTTGGAACTTCCGATTTCCGCTGGAGATAAATACGTTTTATACCGCATAGTATCGCCAATGAACGCTTTTAAATCGTTGAGTTAGTTAATCAAAAATTCGCTAAAGTTTTACAAACTATCAAGTATAAAATTCGAAATTCAAAATTCGTACTTCCGATACACATGTCGAGTGGAGGACTACGTTATTCGAAATTTGATGCCTCTTTCGCAGTGAAAGGAGTATACATGCATATATGATGATTATTCATCATTTTAATTTCTTTGAAAATAGGTCCGGTGCTTGCTAGGCGCTCAAACCAACCCTCTTTCCAATAGGACGATAATATTTGGTGGCAACAATTTGAAAAGCGATTTTCCATTTGTAGCGAACCAATGTAAAATTCCGTTTCGAGAGAAATAGATGCATTTGGGATAATAAGTTAAAGAAACAAATAAATAGTTTCAATTACTGTAAACAGGTTTGAATCATATCTTGAGTTATGTATTATAGTATTTTCTCTATGTGTAAGTGGGGAAGTGGCCAAAAGCTTTATTTAATTGAAAACACTTATCAGTGTATCTGATTTAGGGGAAATCTGGTCTAAATATTGGAGCTTATATAATGAAACTAACACCACTTATTTTCAAATTTAAAGAGAACGTTTTGGTTGAGCATGTTTTAGAAGAAACTATAATTCCATCAAGTGATCTAAATTCGCGAGGTATCAGAAAATTTCGGTTCAGGGCCAGTCAAATAAATGTTTATATTTAATAATTTTATTTATAATGAGTGACCTATTTGAAAAACTTTGGATTAAATTTGAATTGTTATGGATATCAAGAAAATACGACAATTTTAATTTTACGATTAATATTGTTTAATTAAGAGGAGCTATCGAAAGTACTGAAAACTCCATTATTTTACGGCATAACGTATACTGAAATATAAGTAGCTTTTTTAATGTAAGACAAAATATAGTGTGTTTACTAAGAAAACACAAGTTTTACTAAGTATTGAAAAAAAAAAAAAAAAAAAAAAAAAAGGTCGAGTAATATATATTTTGGAAACCTTTTGTTTCAAATTTTGTTTTAGCTGATTAAAAAGTATTTATACGAAAGAAATAATCATGTTTATGATTTAGCAATACATTATTAAAATGCTCACAACAATAGAATAGAGTTTCCTTTCTCTAATGAATCATAATGATCCTCTTTTGAAGGATCATGCAATGAACATCTTCTAAAGGATCATGCAATGAACCTTGTCTAAAAATGTACATAATAAATCATTAAGAAATTTTCTTTACATAAATCCAAGCCTCTAATATATCTTTAAATTAGAACACTTTTAAGTTTTAACGACTTTTTAAGTTTTAACGACTGGGAAAATTTCATTGTTAAGAATGCTCTTAGATAAGCGCGCAACGCCGCTATGAGTAAATGATACTAAGATTTAACATAAAAAGTATTACATATTTAATGCGGAGAAAATAGTTAAGTTTTACAGAGATAATAACTACAGTTTAAGTGTTCATTCGAGTAAGCATTCAAATAAAAAGCACAAAACTACGTAGAGACTACTTCCAACAATGTAAAAAACGACTTAATCGTTATTAGTTTAAATCATGACTTATTGTGGCAAGCGGCAGTATCTTGTTACAGGCTAGAGTTGTTGTGCCATGTCTTCGACATCGTTAAATATTAACTTACTTTTTTAGTTCAGAACTGAATGCATCTTATAAGTGAATGAAGGTTCCTTTCCCCTGGAAGGGAAGAGAATGCTATTACTAGTAGCAAGTTATAACCTTGCGAGTGAGGATTAGGAGACAAAAATAACCATTAAGCTCCATATATGATTATTATATACTATAATATGCTCTATTAAGCTTACAAAATTGCTCCGCCTAATCGAAATTGATACATTTCAGTCGAAGCGCATCTGGACCATTGGCAGATAATATTACTGTCTCCTGTAAATGTCGTTATCCATTCACGATATGTATTTGGTAGCGAAAACAACACGAACGTTCGCTTGTTAAAAATATAATTTTGAGCAGACATTTAGCATTATAGAATAATTCGCAACTTCTGTTGGTTGTTCCATATGTCGAATATTAAAGCATATTTTGCAATACAATAAAAAAGTAAAATCATAATTGAAATTTATAGAAACAATCATTTTTTTAGTATTAACGATAAAATTTAACAGTAGTTATTAAAATGGCTTTGGTTTATCTGATTACGACAAAAGACTCAGGGTTATCTGTCTAAGGGAAGGAATGCTTTCGTGGTGCAGTTTCTAAGGGAACCTGCTTCGTATACACCTTACA